TTTTGATACAGTCACACTAATAGCCCCAAAACTTTTAGAACTTTGAGTTCAAAATCTCTCAAAGAGACGCAGTTTGGTGAGTAATTTTTTCATGCATTCAAAAGAGTTCAAAGTTGAATACCAAGTATTATCACTGCACCAAGGTGCGGCTTTTTGTACATGCTGAAAAAATAACACATTTGAGAAAATATGTTGTGACAAAATTTCTGCATCAAGCTATTTTGAATAGCTTAAGGTTCATAAACCCTCTGCTCACTTATATGAAATTTTCTTTAACTTTTATGATTTTCCAAAGGAAATGTATATGCTGAATAGAATACAAACAATTATAGCATTGCTTGCGGGGCAAATTATGACAAAAAAGGCACTTATAAAACTTGACAAATTTATAAAGGAATAATAGACATTTGTGTCATTAAGAGTTATCTCTCTTATCAGAGTATCAATATACCTTAATAAAGCTAAATCAAGCTATATAGCTTAAGCTATATAACCAAGAGATTGTGTCGGACTTGTTATTAAGAACTTAGTGAATCCACCTTTTGTCTATATGCAGTTGAACTTCAGTATCTCAACACAGATATCTTGGGTTAAATACCATGAATAATCTATTGAAGTGATTTTAAAGTCCACATCACCTTTTGTTTACATACTAGTAGGCAATTTTGCCACATATGATCCACATATATATTTAAAATGCCACATATGATCCACATATATATTTAAAACTAGAGGTACTGTGAGCAATGGGCTCACTAAATGATACCCCCTGCCTCCCATATGTGTATAAATGGCAGTGTCCATGTTTTGCTATGGGAAACCCAAAATATGTGTTGGATCAAAAAGTAAAATAGGAGGTGCACAATGGCAATATGTAATAAAGATTCTGTGAAAGTTTCATTAAATTTCATTCAGTGGTATAAGAGGAGTTGCGGATAAGAGATGGGTACCCCAAAGCGTAACAGACGGACGGACGGACAGACATACAGACGGACGGAATTAACGATTACTATATACCCTCCCGCTTTTCAAGTGGGGGGTATAACTAGAGGTACTGTGAGCAATGAGCTCACTAAATGATACTCCCTGCCTCCCATATGAATATAATGGCAGTTTTGGAAACCCCCAAAATATCAGATCAAAAAGTAAACTAGGAGGTGCACAATGACAATATGTAATTAAGGTTTAGTGAAAGTTTCATCAAATTTCATTCATTTGTACGTGAGATCGAGTTGTGGATAAGAGATGGGTACCCCAAAGCGTAACAGATGGACGTACAGACGGGGACATACTGATTACTGTATACCTTCCCGCTTTTTAAGAGGGGGGTATAAAAAAAGAAAAGAAAAATTACCTGTCAAATAAATTTATTGTTTGTGAAAGTCAACAGACTCATTCTGTACAGAACAAATGTACAACAATTTTCTGGACTGATCCTTATAATTTAATTACAGACTGAAATACTTAATTGGTAAAAATAACTATCATTTCATTCTAATTTACATCTTGTTATGACAGGTAAATTATCAAATGTTCAAAATGCTACATATATGTGTACACAAAACAGCAATGGTCAGGATGAAATACATAACTTATTAAAATGTTCAAATTAACTCAATGAACTCCACCATTTTAAACATATATAGGTACAGAGAAAAATTATTCACTTTAACACTGACAGACAAAGTAATGCACATAAAATTAAATGCAAAAACAATCAGCAGGAATGATGCATCTCAAGATGCTTCCTTCTTTTTATGCACCCAAAGTAATGCACAGCCAAATACCAATATTGAATACAGTTTGAAAATATAATTGATGTACATTGCAAATGATCTTTAACAATAATTTGCAAGAGCTAGTTCCTAAATCTGTTCATTATAGTCCGTCATGGACTAAATAAATCTAATTATACAACCACTTAACCTTACAAGTCTTACAACAGTTCAAGGTGACCAATTATTTGTCACCAAAATAATCTACATATATGTTACGTATAATTCCTCTTTTTAAAACATTAATCAATATACATTGTACTGCACAATTATTGCAATGAAAGAAAACTGGAATATCACAGTTTTTTTTTCTTCGAAATTACTTAAATGAGTGTAAACATTTTTTTTAAAGCTGTAAATTATAGCTCTGTATAGATGTGATTTGACAATCTTATATAACATTCAATTTAGGACTAATGTACCTTACAATTGTCTGTCACTAAAAACTGACATTTCTTCAACTGCATCATCATTTTTTACCTTTTCTTTGACCTTGATCTCACTTATCAGAAAGAACGAGTGCACTTATGGGCCCCGGTAAAATGTGAAAAAATAAACAATCAAATTAAGCAAAAATTTTCATCTTAAATCATTAATTGATATCTTAACCATACCATTTAACAAATTTTACCGCTGAAATCCACGAATATACAAAGAGCAAAATTATACAATGTGGTAGGGGTCGGCCGACATTGGCGATTTTCTATAGTAAATCGAGAACGGTCATTCATTTCAAAGCCTTTGTTAGCTATGAGCCTAACGTTGTGCAAACTTGTGCGATTGACAAAAGACGCATATTACATTTTTAAAACTTGTGTGAAAGTATGAAATTTGCACACGATTAGGCTCGTACTTAAAATATTAAAAATGTATAAAAAGTACAATGTTTTTCCTATAGCAAGTGAGAGCTATTTACCTGTATGACCCATGTTGAACCCACGTGTGGAATAAATTATTTAAAATACTGATAGTCACGTGAGTTCTACCCAGGTAAACATTCCTCAAAAGTGCTCACTGTTAAACAGGTCTGGACGATTTCTAAATATGGAAGTCAAGAACGATAACCGAAAGTTGCTATAAATGTACATCAAGTACACGTAATTATTTTTCTGTCCAATCAGACAACAGCATTTTTACACACCCCAAAACATATTTTAAAAGAACAAAAAGATAACACGTGCTTTTGTTTTTTTCCTCAATAAGATTTTTTTAACAAAAAATCTGTAGCAGTAAGATGAACACTTTTGAAGAATAAGGTATCCCCCACATTTTTACCGTGAACAACCTTGACATTTTTATCTCGGTAAAGAAAAAAAAATAATCAAGGTAGAATGTAATCGTTTACGGAGGTAAAGATCGCACCAGCAAGTTTTTGTCAAGTTCAGTTATAACAATTACCAGAATATATTACATGATGGTAAATATAATTTTGCTTAGCCGTCCGATTTTCATCGATAATGCTTAAATTCCATGCGTATAGATCAACTCACACTGTAAGTGTATGTTTATCGTATGGAGTATACACATATAGTTTTGCATTATCACGGGTTTCATGAGCGCCGAATACTTAGCTATGCAGACTTTAAATGGGCATAAGGAAAGGCGTATAACGTGGAGAAAAGGGAATCCTGTAATTTTACATGAATGCGTTTTATCCCATTATCTTACCTCGCATATCAGACTACTAGTATTCTGTAACAAACACTCAAAAATAATAAAGACTGTTATCTTTTCGATAAGATTTTTATGTCAGGCTCTAAAAACTGAAAATTTACCGTATTTATATCAATTTTTTAACGTAAGCAAACTTTTGGGATTGTTAACTCCTAGAGATAGATTTTTTTTATCCCACTTAAAACGTATTCCAAGCTTTCAAGTCGTGTTTGTTCACGGTAGAATTGTCATAAATATTATATTATTCCCAAATGCGCATAAAGTTTACAAAAAATTTGTTCTAGAAAAATCTTTTGAGCAAAAAACTTAAAAACCACCTGTTTTATTTATTCTCACGTGGGTTTGTCTAAATGCTGTTATCTGATTGGTCAGAGGGATTGGTGCCTTGTTTATTCTGTGTATTAATAGCAATTCCCGGTTATCGTTCTTGACTTCCTTATTTAGAAATCGTCCAGACCTGTTTAAAGCCATATATGGCGTAACTGATCAAAAAAATATATTTTTTAAAAATATCAAATTGAGTAAAGAATTATAGTAAATACATTTAAATTAAAACTTTTCATACAATTCTGAACACGGAGAACACCTCGTTTCAACTAATAATACGATTTTATCTTCTCTGTAATGTGTTATTTAAATCTTTCGTATTTTCTTCCGTCGGAGAAAATTCAGAGAATCCAAATTAAATTGTGATATCTTTATAACGCAATTGACTTAGATTTTGTAATTTACGGAAAAGTTCTATCTTTATAAAAAGTAATGATACAAATAATAAGTTCGTATAATTATAGTCCAATAATTTTCATTGTACATACGCCATATATGGCTTTAAACATAGGCAGGTTTTGTTTCAGTAAGTCAAAGTCGTGCCGCTTAGAGATGTTTGTATGTATATTTGTTTTTAAGAACACGGGAGGGTAAGGAGATCTAAGTGTCGTTCATAAAGTGTCAAATATTTTTACCCTTCATGCAAGACAATGAAACAGGTATTGAAAGCCACCTATACATGTAACACTCCTTTTTAATTTCAAATTCAATGAAACTATTACTGTAATTTTTCAAATGCAAGAGTACCAATTTCTTGTTTAATCATTTTAGATACAGGCAACTACACAACTTCATTCCATATTTTTAAAAACAGGTTTGGCGCAAGAAATATCATTCCGCAAACGCGCCCGACTATGATCCACCATCAGATTGTTCAAGTATCGATTTAAATATCCATTCCCTTGATTTACATAAAAGAAACTAAAAAGAAGGTTCGGTACGACTTTTCCGGATTTATAGGGTATCCATAGGCCTATCAAAATATTCAATTGTTTCAAATCCATGCTGATTTAAGTGGGGCTTAACATGCTTTTTGATTAGAAATATCCAGTAGTATCTAACTATTACCAATAGAGAATGATTTTGTAATATATGTTGAAGTAAAAGGGCACATAAAAAGGGCCCATTAAGTATTGCTTAAGTGCACTTGTCCTTTGTGTTAATCTCAGTTTTAAAGAACATAATTTCATATATAAACTGCATATGCTGATACATATTAATGAAAGCTCTTCCACTGAATGAACAATTTTGACCTTTGACCTCTCATCTAACACTTCATATATACAAGTAATAAATTTTCATGTTGCATTACAAAATAGTATTGTGATATAAATCACTCAATGTTATCAATCACATTTTTCTCGTCAATGGTAGCTAGTGCAGCAAACAAATCATCATCATCAATTTCAGTCTTCAACAAATGAATTTGTGGATCTTTGCTGGCTAGGCGCGAAAAAAATGAGGTTATTTGGGTGGGGTTTAACCACTGATTAACTTTGAAAACATGTTCACCATTTACATCTTTCTTTCTTTTCATATCCTCAGCAACTTCTATAGGGTTGCATTTTTTCCCAGTTGTCTTACCTTCTTCAAACTTGCGTACAAGAAAATTCTTGACACTTTCAGGAAATCTTGAAATTGTCTTGTTTTCCTTTAAACCCCATCCCATAGTATTCACTTGAAGGTCATTGGAACTACACTCAAATGACACGGTCTTCACTTTGCTTGAAAACACAAGTTCATTACACAGTTTAACCCACTGGTGTTTGATTTTATCAAATGTTGTCTCCTTCTGTAGCTGCAGGGAATGCTTGCCAATTAATAAATGATTTTCAAGTCCTTTGAAAGTAGCAAATTTTCTTACGCATCCTTCAACTGTGCAGTGAAATGTTGTAGGGAAGGAATCTACATGTTCCTCTTCTTTTACAATGCAGTTTGGTGAATTATTAACAGCCTCCTGAATATTAGTTGTTTCACTAAATAACTCTTGATTCATTGACTTTTGTCGCCCTTCAATTTTTCCAGTTAATCTTAAGGGTAAACTAAATCCTGATATGATTGTACAACCTGATTCATGGTATTTTTGTTTACCATAAGCTAACTTGTCCAGTGTTTCATAGGAAATGAATTGTCCTTTACCAATATTGTATGCTTTTTTCAAAATTATCCCATCTCTTTGGAATCCCACATAGCTGTAATCATTTACACCTTTTAATTTATGGGTTTTCATGGTTTGTTTGGAAGTGTCTATAACACATACAGCAATTTGACAACCAGCAACACCTTTATAAGAAAAATAGAAGTAGAAAGATTATTACATGGTATTTCACAAGATCCAATCTTTCCCAATTATTTAATAACAAAGTTTGCTATAAGCAATGTATTTATAAATGAATCAAGGCCAAATTTTGTTGAATTTTGACCTGTTTTATTAGACTTATATAGTCCTTAAATATGGCCCAGAAATGGGAAGCAGATTTTTCTATTAATCAGGTTGACTTGCACTCCTACAGAAGTGAATAAAATTACCTTTCCCTGAATCTAAAGCCGTTTTCATGTCTGAGGCTGTGACAATGTTGTTTCCGCTTGCCACCCAGGTTTTCATTTTTGTTCGCATGTGTGCTATCTTGGAATCGCAAAATGACTTCCCAGCTTGTGCTTCAGAAAAACAGTACTCCTTGATATGTATTCCTACAAAATGATACATAATACTGTCAAAAATTACCTTCTAGTGACATCATCATGATCTTGACATTTAGACTTGCAGTCAACTTTTTTGTTGTTAATTGTATTTAATGAAATTGTGTTGTTCTTTCACATATTTATTTCACATATTACCTGTTTTTTTGCTGATTTCTGGTAAACAGAGCCACAGTAATCCACAATGATAGCATCCTGCATTGTCGGAACGTAGACTTATATTTTGAATATGTGGCAGTTGATCTTTTATTGCACAAATCGCATCTTCCAGCAATGATGCTACGCAAAACCAGTCTTGTTTGACACCATCAAACACATGAGTGAAAGTCCTATGCTGCAAATCAAACCAAAATGATAACTAGATGAAGTACCTAGATTTATTAACATACCAATATTCATTTGTTAGGTAGAGTTAATTTTGTACTTATGGCCCTTTTGTTTTTCAACCAAATTTTGATTTAAAGTGCTTGCAATACAATTACAAAAATAATTATTAAAAAAAATACATGGAAATTTTTCAAAGAAACATGTGATGCACTTACACTAATTGATCCATCTTCAGCCGTATATATGCAGACAATTACGTGCCAATTTCTTCCTCTTTGACCAAACCAATCTGTTTGCTTTTCCCGATATCTCTGTGGAACAAATTTCATCGCCCAATCCATAACTAATACACATTGATTTTTATCTAGATGGTCAATTACATCCGTGCGATACCTATCTTGGTTCACTGTTCGTATGATATGGGATTTCCACCTGAGAATTTTCTTCATAGCTTCTGATATGATGTTGGTGTATTCATCTTTGTCTATACCATTGTCCATTTTGTTGACAATCTTATGCAATTCAGTACAGACATCTTTCAAAAGTTCACATCTGTCACACTTTAAGGAATGGAAATGGTCACACGGATTTTGAAAATCTTCATTATTACTGTCGCTCAAACTCCAGTTAATACAATGATCTGCGCATAGGTCTGATTCTTGAATATGGAGTTTATAGTCTGTTTTTAAGTAGATGCGACTTGAAGTTAAAGCTGTTGTTAGTTCTTTGTGTAATTCAGCGGACATCAGAGAATGATTCTTTAATGTATTCAAAAACGTATGGAGACTCTGGAAAGCCTCTACTCCATCTGCAGCTGTATTATCCAGCCCATGAAGATTTTTTCTCTTTGAGGCAGCACAGGCTTTTAGAATTTTGAAAAGTGAACTTTTTCCTAAAGGTTTGAATTCATTTTCTTTACAGAAAGCCAAATACATTTGTACAATCTGTGCATGACAAACAGTTCGAATGACATCTGGAATTCTGATCTTTTCCCCAGTATCAAACTCCAGCTCCCTAGTGCCGTAGGAAACAATTTGAGTGAAACAAGGATCAAAAAAGAAGTTGATAGCGTGTTGCATCTTTTCTTCATCCATTTTTTCTCGTGGTCTTCTTTCTCTGTCTTTCATGTCCAGGGCAGTTATTGAAGTTGATGTAAGTCTGGCTTGATCTATTTTGTATTTCGTTATTCCTGGTAGTCGTTGCATAATTTCATCTTTGGTTAATTTCTTGGACACCACCGATAGGATTTGGTTGCATAGTTGATTGTTTGTTGTTTCTTCATATATTCTCAGGATGGTGTTAATGAGATCATCTTCTGAGGGCTCTTTGGTTGATTCTGTAATTAGCTGCTTCAAGTTTGAAGACTGTCCAGGAGCTATGAGATTGAGAACTGAATCCACAGACTCCTCTGCTTTTCTTTTATAGTAACGTATGGTACTTTCCCCTGCTGATGAAATATCTGTGCGAAGCTGTGCACGCAAAGGGCTTGCCTTTCCACCAGTTACCATTCTCAATACTTCATTTGCATTCTGCAAGGTTGTTTCCATTTCATCACTATATGTTGATATTTGCGAGAGAGTTTGGGAATTTGGTACATCTGAATCCTGTAAGAAGAAAAATTAATTGTTAGAATGAAATCTGAAATAATTGTACATGTTATGCCAGCAAATTTATAATGATGTTTAAGATCATTTATTGTATTCCCTGGCTACGAAAGGCAGTGGCGTAGCATGCATCAAATATATGTGTAGGCACTAGAAAATGAAGCCAAAGGTTTCAATGAGGTGCGATGCGCTGAAAGGGGATAGATGCGATAGGGGGGTCAGTATATTAAAAAGTTTACTGGTAAGGGGAGGGGATCAGATTTGAATTTTTTATTACCTGAGAATGTCACTAATAATTAAAGCATACATGTACATATGTATAATTTTGCTATACTTGAGAAGAAGAGTTTTGAACATTTTTCCTATATATCTATATGTAAAGATTTGATTGCTCATAATGGCCCCACCTTACTCCCAGGGGTCATGATATGTCAGATATGAGCAAACTATAATTGAACTCTGATAATGTTTCCATACATTAATATCACCAATTATAGATTTTTCTTATGTAAAACTTTGATCAGCCATTGTGGTCCTGCCCTTTCCCTTGGGGTCATGAATTGAACAAACTTGAATCTACACTACCTAAGGATGCTTCAACATGAGTTTCATCTTTCCTGGCCCAGTTGTTCTGGAGAGGAAGATTATTTAGAGATTTTATACTATATATTCCTATGTTAACATTTGATCGGCCATTGTGGCCCCTCCCTTCTCCCTGGGGTTGTGATTCGAACAAACTTGAATCTACACTACCTGAAGATGTTTCCACATGAGTTTTATTTTTCCTGGCCATATGGATCTGGAGAAGATTTTTTAAAGATGCCATTAATTTTTCATTAATTCATAATTATCTCCCCTTGGAAAAGGGCTTGGACCTTCATTTGAACAAACTTATTAAAATACCCTTTACCCAAGCATACTTTGTGGCAAGTTTGGTTGAAATTGGTCATGGGGTTCTTGAGAAGAAGAAAATGTGTAAAAGTTTACTACTACGACAACAAGAATAACATACAAAGGACTAATTTTGACCAGAAAAGCTCACTTGAGCCTTCAGCTCAGATGAGTTAAAAACTGTATGTTTCCAGGAATTTATAATTGCTGCAGAAATTCAAGGAAAATTATACAGACACAAGACACTTCAATCAGAAAGGTCACTTGAGTGTATTGCTAAGGTGGTCCAACATTACTGGAAATAAAATACAAAATTGTTACTTACATTATCATAATATTGCAGATGACCATGTTCTCTCAGATCATATCCTAGGGACTCTCCAGTAGTACATACAGCATACTGCAAAATAAAATTTAAAAAAAATAAAAGAAGTGAGGAAAGGTTTAAAAAAAATTTTCAAATACAATAAAAAAACAAGAGGCTCATGGGCCACATCGCTCACCTGAGAAGCTTTGACCATTCTGTTCTTTACTAGATTTCCCCCTTGTAATACATATAGTGACCCCACCCTACCCCACTAATCATAATTTACACAATTTAATATCTACACTACCCAAGGATGCTTCCATATGAGTTTCAGCTTTTGAGGCCCTGTGGTTCTTGAGAAGAAGATTTTTACAGATTTATTCTTTATATTTCTATGTAAAACTGGGATTTCCCATTGTGGCCCCGCCCTACCCCAAGGGGCCATGATTGGATTAATTTAGAATCCACACTACCTGAGGATACTTTCATATAAGTTTCAGCTTTTCTGGCACAGTGGTTCTTGAGAAGATTTTTAAAGATTTTTCCTTTATATTTCTATGTAAAACTTTGATTCCCCATTGTGGCCCCGCCCAACCCCCGGGGGTCATGATTTGTACAATTTAGAATCTACACTACCCCAGGATGCTTCCACATAAGTTTCAGCTTTTCTGGCCTAGTGGTTCTTGAGAAGAAGATTTTTAAAGATTTTTCCTATATATTTTTATGTAAAAATTTGATTCCCCATTGTGGCCCCGCCCAATCCCCAGGGGTCATGACTTGAACAATTTAGAATTTACACTACCCTAGGATGCTTCCACATAAGTTTCAGCTTTTCTGGCCCAGTGGTTCTTGAGAAGAAGATTTTTTAATGACCCCACCCTATTTTTGACTTTTCTTGATTATCTCCCCTTGTGAAGGGACTTGGCCCTTCATTTTAATAATTTAAATTCCTCTTCACCCAAGAATGCTTTGTACCAAGTTTGGTCAAAATTGGCCCAGTGGTTCTTGAGAAGAAGTCACTTGAGCCTTTGGCTCAGGTGAGCTAAGAAATAAAAAAAATTATGAAGCATCCATATATATACATATATAATTAGTGGCCGATTTAAGGGGGCGCACCCAGCCCCCCCCCCCCCTCCCCCTAAAATTGTCAAAGTTAGCATCAATCAAAGTTTCGTCTGGAAAATGTAAATATGTCTACTTGCAGGGGCGTAGCAACAGGGGGGCCAGCCCCCCCCCCCCCCCACTTTTTTTCCCAACCTTACTTATAGAACAGAAATGTCAATTGAAAGCCTGGTTTACCCCCCTCACTTTTAGTGATTTACGGAAAATGTAGTATTAGAATTGGTAATAAAAGTTGTTGGCACTGAGAAAAAAATTTCAACCTTACTTATAGAACAGAAATGTCAATTGAAAGCCTGGTTTACCCCCCTCACTTTTAGTGATTTACGGAAAATGTAGTATTAGAATTGGTAATAAAAGTTGTTGGCACTGAGAAAAGTTGACCTATACCCCCCCCCCCCCCCCCCCCCCACACACACACACACACACACAATAGGATTTTCGACTTCGGCAACTTTTTCCTTTAAGCAACTTTTCAAGTTACTGTAGATCACTTAATTTTCGCCACACCTTATTTTCGCGAGATAGTCATTGACTCTTGATTAGCGAGACAAAATTTTCACGAATTGTGGTTATTGCTCTATATAATTGTAAGGAATGCTATTATACGCGAGAATTAAATTTTCGCGAGCACACTGTCTCGCGTAATTACGCGAAAATAAAGTGCTCGCGAATATATAGTGATTTACAGTAGTAAAAAGAATTCTCTGGCGGGCCCCCCCCCCCCCACTTTCAAAAACGATGCTATGCCACTGACTTGGTAGACCTCATTTTTACCCTACAAAATCTCTAGAATGCAGGAGCTTCCCGGGGCTGTGCCCCCACCAGGGGTTTGCCCTTGACCCACTGGGGGCCTCATGGCGGCCCCCAGACCCCTTGCCTTATTTTGGCGCCCCCTCTAACTCCAATTCCTGGATCCGCGCCTGATAATTATATGTAGCTGCAGATCTGTAGCATTATGGTTTTATATAATTTGTCTTTGACCATAACACTACAGATCCTGTAATGCAAAAAAAAGTGCAATTTACTGCACAATATTTTTTGCGCACTTTTGGGGAGAATTTCTCCACTTTCTAGCTAGCATTGGTCAATCAACTATCTTTCACTCCTTAATTCTATAGACACATTCTGAAGCCAATATGTACATTTGATCCATCTCCCAACCATTTATAGTTGTCTCTACATGCAATAAACTCATTTAAGTTAATTTTTTGCAATCTAACAAATTATTTTAATCAAGCGAGTTTATCACTTGAAGAGACGACTTTAAAAGGTTGGGAGATGGAAAAATATACAGATTAGTTAAATAATGGTCTTAGAATTAGGGAGTAAAGGGTAATTAACTGACCGATGCTGAAAAGTGGGGGAATTCTCCAAAAAAATCGCAAAAATTATTGCGCAGTCAATTGCACTTTTTTTTCATTATGGGCTCTGTAGCGTTATGGTCAAAGACATATATATAAAACCATATCACTACAGATCTGCAGCTAATATATTTGGCACTCATTTTATAGTATGAAGTCTCGTTTTACTAATTTTAGGGAGGTATTTTTTCTCTTGGCAAATTGGAAATTGTTTTCTTCAACTTTTAGTTTCACACAGACACATAAGCAAAATTGTTATCATGATCATTTGTCAATGCTTACTGAATACATGTATTGTGTTTATGAAAAGAATGATACACCAGTACTTTAAATTTTATGCTTACATGAGATAGAGAATCCTGTTCATTGTCTAAACTGGAGACATCTTTGCTGTAACTTTTCAGACAGCCTTTGCAAATTCCTGCATGAATAAATTCCATATTTATTACCAACAGCTTATTTTTTATTGGTACATTAAAATGATAAACATAGTTCAAAATCAATATTTCATATAATCTACCTTATATCTATAATTTTTATTTAATTGTGTTTTCTTTTATCATTCTATATATGCTTTTGATCCAGTGTGGTGATGCACTTCTCAATGTCAAACTTAATCACAAGTCATGTTACATTATCCTTAATATAGAAGTAATCAATGTTATCATTTTGTAATAATTGTTCATGCCCCCTTGGTGAATAAACATAATATATATAATCAAATATATGTACGTATATTTAATGTTCATCCAGAGAGTGATTTTAATTTTCCTCGAGTGAAATAAAAAAAAAATAAACAGATCTTGAAATGATAAACATGCAGTTACCTGAACCAATCACCAGTAACACTCCTAAACATTTCAAAATATTTCTGCTCATTATACCCGCACTTTCTAAAGAAAGTTCGGGTATATTGTTGTTACTCATGTCCGTCCGTCCGTCCGTCCGTCCGTCCGTCCGTCCGTCCGTCTGTCACACTTTTCTTCCCTGAACTCCTCCTACATTTTAAACAGTAGCTTAATCATCTTTTGGGAGATGGTTGGTGGGTTCATGTAGATGTGCAGTAAGGTTTCGGAATTTTGATTTTGCCCCGGGGGGTCAAATGGGGGTCGAAAAATGACGTTTTTTGTGCAAAAAGTCCCGTCTTCCCTGAACTCCTTCTACATTTTACTCAGCAGCCTAATCACCTTTTGGGGGATGATTGGTGGTGTCATGTAGATGTGCAGTAAGGTTTCGGAATTTTGATTTTGCCCCAGGGGGTCAAATAGGGGTCGAAAAATGACGTTTTTTATGCAAAAAGCCCCATCTTCCCTGAACTCCTCTTACATTTTACTCAGCAGCCTTATCATCTTTTGGGGGATGATTGGTGGTGTCATGTAGATGTGCAGTAAGGTTTCGGAATTTTGATTTTTGCCCCAGGGGGTCAAATGGGGGTCGAAAAATGATGTTTTTTTATGCAAAAAGCCCCGTCTTCCCTGAACTCCTTCTACATTTTACACAGTAGCCTAATCATCTTTTGGGAGATGGTTGGTGGTGTCATGTAGATATGCAGTAAGGTTTTGGAATTTAGATTTTGCCCCAGGGGGTCAAATGGGGGTCGAAAAATGACGTTTTTTATGCAAAAAGCCTCATCTTCCCTGAACTCCTCTTACATTTTACTCAGCAGCCTTATCATCTTTTGGGGGATGATTGGTGTTGTCACGTAGATGTGCAGTAAGGATTCGGAATTTTGATTTTGCCCCGGGGGGTCAAATGGGGGTCGAAAAATGATGTTTTTTATGCAAAAAGCCCCGTCTTCCCTGAACTCCTTCTACATTTTACACAGTAGCTTAATCATCTTTTGGGAGATGGTTGGTGGTGTCATGTAGATGTGCAGTAAGGTTTCTGAATTTAGATTTTGTCCAGGGGGGTCAAATTGGGGTGGAAAAATGACGTTTTTTATACAAAAAGCCCCGTTTTCCCTGAACTTCTCTTACATTTTACTCAGCAGCCTATTCATCTTTTGAGAGATGGTTGGTGGGGTCATGTAGATGTGCAGTAAGGTTTCGGAATTTTTATTTTGCCCTGGGGGTCAAATGGGGGTCAAAAAATGACATTTTTTATGCAAAAAGCCCCGTCTTCCCTGAACTTCTCCTACATTTTACACAGTAGCCTAATCATCTGTTGGGAGATGGTTGGTGGTGTCAGGTAGATGTGCAGTAAGGTTTTGGAATTCAGATTTTGCCCTGGGGGGTCAAATATGGGTCGAAAAATGACGTTTTTTGTGCAAAAAGCCCTGTCTTCCCTGAAGTCTTCCTTAATGTTACTCAGAAGCCTAATCATCTTGTAGGAGAGTTAAATATTTTGAAAATTATGTAAAACATCAACGTCAAGGGGTAAAAAAAAGCATCACATGCTGGGAAACACCTTGAATTCTTATGAGTAATTAATGTATATGTCAAATGTGAGAGTCATATCTCATCTCAATCAAAAGTTATAAGCAAATGCAACATTTTTGAAAAGTAGAGGCTTGACCTCTTCAAGGTCACAGAGTAAAAATCATGATTTATTTGGAAAGGTCTTATCACAGGTAATAATATACATGCATTATG